GAGAAAAGAGACGATTTTTTAATTAGCGGGCGAATTAATGGGGAAGCACTCTGCGCCGAGAAACCATTGAGTTTTTCATATCGCCGCGATTTTCGTCGCAATTTTTATTTTTTTATTACAGAGATTAAGGAATGAAAGGGGGGTTGAAGGATGGGGAATTTAATTCTCCATCGAACAGCATTGGTTTCATTCCTTAATGTTAATTAGGAGGGGAGAGACGATTTTTTAATTAGCGGGCGAATTAATGGGGAAGCGCTCTGCGCCGAGAAACCATTGAGTTTTTCATAGCGCCGCGACTTTCGTCGCAGTTTTTATTTTTTTATTACAGAGATTAAGGAATGAAACGGGGGTTGAAGGATGGGGAATTTAATTCTCCATCGAACAGCATTGGTTTCATTCCTTAATGTTAATTAGGAGCAGAGATACGATTTTTTAATTAGCGGGCGAGTTGTCGGGAGTCACTGCACCGAGAAACCATTGAGTTTTTCATAGCGCCGCGACTTTCGTCGCAATATTAATTTTCTTATTACAGAGATTAAGGAATGAAACGGGGGTGGATGGATGGGGAATTTATTTCTCCATCGAACAGCATTGGTTTCATTCCTTAATGTTAATTAGGAGGGGAGGGACGATTTTTTAATTAGTGGGCGAATTAATGAAGAAGCGCTCGCCGAGAAACCATTGAGTTTTTCATAGCGCCGCGACTTTCGTCGCAGTTTTTATTTTTTTATTACAGAGATTAAGGAATGAAACGGGGGTTGAAGGATGGGGAATTTAATTCTCCATCGAACAGCATTGGTTTCATTCCTTAATGTTAACTAGGAGGGGAGGGACGATTTTTTAATTAGCGGGCGAATTAATGAAGAAGCGCTCTCCGAGAAACCATTGAGTTTTTCATAGCGCCGCGACTTTCGTCGCAATATTAATTTTCTTATTACAGAGATTAAGGAATGAAACGAGAGTTGAAGGATGGGGAATTTAATTCTCCATCGAGCAGCATTGGATTCATTCCTTAATGTTAATTATGAGGGGAGAGACGATTTTTTAATTAGCGGGCGAATTAATGGGGAAGCGCTCTGCGCCGAGAAACCATTGAGTTTTTCATAGCGCCGCGACTTTCGTCGCAGTTTTTATTTTTTTATTACACAGATTGAGGAATGAAACGCGGGTTGAAGGATGGGGAATTTAATTTTCCATCGAACAGCATTGGTTTCATTCCTTATTGTTAATTAGGAGGGGAGAGACGATTTTTTAATTAGCGGGCGAATTAATGGGGAAGCGCTCTGCGCCGAGAAACCATTGAGTTTTTCATAGCGCCGCGACTTTCGTCGCAGTTTTTATTTTTTTATTACACAGATTGAGGAATGAAACGCGGGTTGAAGGATGGGGAATTTAATTTTCCATCGAACAGCATTGGTTTCATTCCTTATTGTTAATTAGGAGGGGAGAGACGATTTTTTAATTAGCGGGCGAATTAATGGGGAAGCGCTCTGCGCCGAGAAACCATTGAGTTTTTCATAGCGCCGCGACTTTCGTCGCAGTTTTTATTTTTTTATTACACAGATTGAGGAATGAAACGCGGGTTGAAGGATGGGGAATTTAATTTTCCATCGAACAGCATTGGTTTCATTCCTTATTGTTAATTAGGAGGGGAGAGACGATTTTTTAATTAGCGGGCGAATTAATGGGGAAGCGCTCTGCGCCGAGAAACCATTGAGTTTTTCATAGCGCCGCGACTTTCGTCGCAGTTTTTATTTTTTTATTACACAGATTGAGGAATGAAACGCGGGTTGAAGGATGGGGAATTTAATTTTCCATCGAACAGCATTGGTTTCATTCCTTATTGTTAATTAGGAGGGGAGAGACGATTTTTTAATTAGCGGGCGAATTAATGGGGAAGCGCTCTGCGCCGAGAAACCATTGAGTTTTTCATAGCGCCGCGACTTTCGTCGCAGTTTTTATTTTTTTATTACACAGATTGAGGAATGAAACGCGGGTTGAAGGATGGGGAATTTAATTTTCCATCGAACAGCATTGGTTTCATTCCTTATTGTTAATTAGGAGGGGAGAGACGATTTTTTAATTAGCGGGCGAATTAATGGGGAAGCGCTCTGCGCCGAGAAACCATTGAGTTTTTCATAGCGCCGCGACTTTCGTCGCAGTTTTTATTTTTTTATTACACAGATTGAGGAATGAAACGCGGGTTGAAGGATGGGGAATTTAATTTTCCATCGAACAGCATTGGTTTCATTCCTTATTGTTAATTAGGAGGGGAGAGACGATTTTTTAATTAGCGGGCGAATTAATGGGGAAGCGCTCTGCGCCGAGAAACCATTGAGTTTTTCATAGCGCCGCGACTTTCGTCGCAGTTTTTATTTTTTTATTACACAGATTGAGGAATGAAACGCGGGTTGAAGGATGGGGAATTTAATTTTCCATCGAACAGCATTGGTTTCATTCCTTATTGTTAATTAGGAGGGGAGAGACGATTTTTTAATTAGCGGGCGAATTAATGGGGAAGCGCTCTGCGCCGAGAAACCATTGAGTTTTTCATAGCGCCGCGACTTTCGTCGCAGTTTTTATTTTTTTATTACACAGATTGAGGAATGAAACGCGGGTTGAAGGATGGGGAATTTAATTTTCCATCGAACAGCATTGGTTTCATTCCTTATTGTTAATTAGGAGGGGAGAGACGATTTTTTAATTAGCGGGCGAATTAATGGGGAAGCGCTCTGCGCCGAGAAACCATTGAGTTTTTCATAGCGCCGCGACTTTCGTCGCAGTTTTTATTTTTTTATTACACAGATTGAGGAATGAAACGCGGGTTGAAGGATGGGGAATTTAATTTTCCATCGAACAGCATTGGTTTCATTCCTTATTGTTAATTAGGAGGGGAGAGACGATTTTTTAATTAGCGGGCGAATTAATGGGGAAGCGCTCTGCGCCGAGAAACCATTGAGTTTTTCATAGCGCCGCGACTTTCGTCGCAGTTTTTATTTTTTTATTACACAGATTGAGGAATGAAACGCGGGTTGAAGGATGGGGAATTTAATTTTCCATCGAACAGCATTGGTTTCATTCCTTATTGTTAATTAGGAGGGGAGAGACGATTTTTTAATTAGCGGGCGAATTAATGGGGAAGCGCTCTGCGCCGAGAAACCATTGAGTTTTTCATAGCGCCGCGACTTTCGTCGCAGTTTTTATTTTTTTATTACACAGATTGAGGAATGAAACGCGGGTTGAAGGATGGGGAATTTAATTTTCCATCGAACAGCATTGGTTTCATTCCTTATTGTTAATTAGGAGGGGAGAGACGATTTTTTAATTAGCGGGCGAATTAATGGGGAAGCGCTCTGCGCCGAGAAACCATTGAGTTTTTCATAGCGCCGCGACTTTCGTCGCAGTTTTTATTTTTTTATTACACAGATTGAGGAATGAAACGCGGGTTGAAGGATGGGGAATTTAATTTTCCATCGAACAGCATTGGTTTCATTCCTTATTGTTAATTAGGAGGGGAGAGACGATTTTTTAATTAGCGGGCGAATTAATGGGGAAGCGCTCTGCGCCGAGAAACCATTGAGTTTTTCATAGCGCCGCGACTTTCGTCGCAGTTTTTATTTTTTTATTACACAGATTGAGGAATGAAACGCGGGTTGAAGGATGGGGAATTTAATTTTCCATCGAACAGCATTGGTTTCATTCCTTATTGTTAATTAGGAGGGGAGAGACGATTTTTTAATTAGCGGGCGAATTAATGGGGAAGCGCTCTGCGCCGAGAAACCATTGAGTTTTTCATAGCGCCGCGACTTTCGTCGCAGTTTTTATTTTTTTATTACACAGATTGAGGAATGAAACGCGGGTTGAAGGATGGGGAATTTAATTTTCCATCGAACAGCATTGGTTTCATTCCTTATTGTTAATTAGGAGGGGAGAGACGATTTTTTAATTAGCGGGCGAATTAATGGGGAAGCGCTCTGCGCCGAGAAACCATTGAGTTTTTCATAGCGCCGCGACTTTCGTCGCAGTTTTTATTTTTTTATTACACAGATTGAGGAATGAAACGCGGGTTGAAGGATGGGGAATTTAATTTTCCATCGAACAGCATTGGTTTCATTCCTTATTGTTAATTAGGAGGGGAGAGACGATTTTTTAATTAGCGGGCGAATTAATGGGGAAGCGCTCTGCGCCGAGAAACCATTGAGTTTTTCATAGCGCCGCGACTTTCGTCGCAGTTTTTATTTTTTTATTACACAGATTGAGGAATGAAACGCGGGTTGAAGGATGGGGAATTTAATTTTCCATCGAACAGCATTGGTTTCATTCCTTAATGTTAATTAGGAGCAGAGATACGATTTTTTGATTAGCGGGCGAGTTGTCGGGAGTCACTGCGCCGAGAAACCATTGAGTTTTTCATAGCTCCGCGACTTTCGTCGCAATATTAATGTTCTTATTACAGAGATTAAGGGATGAAACGGGAATTGTTGGGTGGGGAATTTAATTCTCCATCGAACAGCGTTGGTTTCATTCCTTAATATTAATTAGGAGAAAAGAGACCATTTTTTAATTAGCGGGCGAATTAATGGGGAAGCGCTCTGCGCCGGAAAACCATTGAGTTTCTTATAGCGCCGTGACTTTCGTCGCAATATTAATTTTTTTATTGCAGAGATCAAGGGATGAAACGGGGGTTGATGGATGGGGAATTTAATTCTCCATTGAACAGTCTTTGTTTCATCCCTTAATATTAATTAGTCGGCGAATAAATCAACTGAAAAACATAGAGTAAACATTGAGTATAAGGAGGACAAAAATCCCCCTTCGAACCTGTCCCTGTCACAGCAGGACTGCTACTGCCGAGTTACTCACGCACCCGACTCACATTTACCGACAATTCGACTGGGACGCCTCCTTTCCCGTGGGGTATCAACTAACATTTTTGGAGTCAGTCAAACCCCTCGATCCGGGCCTCTACTGAGGTCTATCCTCTTCGGTAGTCAATGCGCCATCGCCACGAATTTTGCTGTTGAACACTTTATATAGGCCCTGCTCATCTCCCCTATAATCACCGATCTGAGCCTCTACTTTAGTCAATCCTCTTTGCGTGGAACTGTGGACCTAGTCCTGAACAGCTGGCGCCATAAAACATCAAATAATCCACTCCTGAAAACTCAGGAAAAGGTTCTATGTACTGGAAGGCCGGTATTTGTAGTTGTCTTACATAAGAAAAATGAATTTAGAACTCCTCGGTGAGTACTGTAAATATCTCGTATAAATAACACTGAATTTCGTAATCATTTCTCTCTACGGTTTCAGAATCCTTTGGTCAGAATTATCCAGAGGTAAATTATCTATTTCTTTTAACATAACCTCAATTTCAATACAATTTCGAATATTCTGAATGCTTTCATGTTTTTCATTGACCATATTTTACTTAAGGAATTCGATGGGACATTAGACTGCATATCCCTTGCAGTAACATGCACATTCAATAAGAGAGGAACTTTGTTAGCAGTGGGATGCAACGATGGCAGAATAGTCATCTGGGACTTCCTCACTCGTGGAATAGCTAAAATAATTAGTGCCCATGTCCACCCAGTTTGTTCACTCAGTTGGTCGAGAAATGGCCACAAATTACTCAGTGCATCGACCGATAATAATGTCTGCATTTGGGATGTATTGTCTGGTGAATGCGATCAAAAATATCGTTTTCCATCGCCAATATTGAAAGTTCAGTTTCACCCAAGAAATGCAAACAAATTTCTTGTCTGCCCAATGAGACACGCAGCTGTTTTGGTTGATACAGAGGGAACCCACCGGGTTATACCTTTGGATGAGGATGTGAGTATAAAATTTAGGGTCTTTTTGGTTCAAAAGTGAGAATACTCGCTTGAGTTTGAGCACTATTTATTACATCAGCGGTGAAATGATGCTTACTTTCGTGTGCCTAATGATAGATTGAAAGAAAAAAAAGACTATTACTCTGTTAGAAGTTTAATGCAATTTAAACTTCGGATTGAATCTAACATAAGATCCGAATGTTTCGAACGTTATCTACGAGCTGCCAACCACCACTGTGGGGGAACAAATAGCTATTTTCGTCACAATGTCGAAAAAAACTTCTGGCAAGTGTGAGGGTTGCAAGCCCACGCAATGCCGAGGAATGCAATCACACTAGTTAGAAAAGTTGTTTTCGTCCGAGTGACGAACATAATTTTTCTTCACAATGTCCGTAAATGGCGTTTGACGGACACGAAGTGTCCGATGGTCCGAAGTGTGTGACGTTTTACGGACAGTGTGTTAAAAATATTTTGTGGGTTTCATATAAGTGATGAATTACAAAGAAATATTCTTACTGAGATTCGTACTATTCTTCAGAATTCAGGTGTCATTCAAACTCCCATGAAACAACGATAAATTTCACTTGACATCCCAGAAGAAATGTTAAGGTATAAAGTTGTAATTTCGTAACGAACAAAGTAAATGCGTTGGAATGTGATAAATTTTCAGTTGAATGTTTCCGGAAAAAAAAATCAAATACTTGAAAATTCAGTGGTAAAATAACGTTGAATTCATAGAAGTAACAATTATGTATTCCTTTGGAAAACGGCACGTTTTGTAACTTTCTGAGTGCCTTCATCGCTGAATCTACAATGCAACCTTACGAAGTCTTTTTTATCCCTATAAGTTCATTCGTTCGTGAAATTACACAGGTTTCTGTTTATACTTGGACATATTACTGTCATTTTTACCTGTAGATTGACAAAACGTTGTAATCCATACGCTAGGCCCCCTTCCTGTATGCACTGGTATGTCGGGAGGATTTTTTAGTGTTTTTTGTTTTTGGGGGTGAGGAATCCGAATCCATCAGGGTTTTTTGCCTAAAGTTGTGCACACCCATTGTTATTAACAATTTTTGGGTACTTTCGCACAAAATCGGCGTTTTCGCGATAACCATGATATTTATCGTAAAAATACCTCTTACCAACTTCATTCCCTATATTCCAAGGAACAATTTCGTTTTTGATTTTTTTAAACCGGATAATTAGATCGGGAGTTATGCTCATTTGTTTATAAGCGCCGCGCGCTACGTCGTCCATCGGTCGCGCGCACCTCCACTCACCAAAAATCTCCCATTTTCCCTACGGGGAACGGAGAAATAAACGACATAATATGATTATTTCATTTATTCGTTCATGTCTACTCAGGAATATATTTTATCGCATTATTAGTTACCGGGATTTCTGGGAAGTACCAAAAAGCGGATCCGCGCGTTGTTTTGGTCGCCCGCAGTAGACTCACTCCGATGAGTTCCAGTCAATTCAGGGAATTCGTCGTCCACGAAATAAACAATAGGGCTCGATATGTCTTGGTGGAACGAAAATAATAACGAAAAAATGGCAACAGAGGTAGTACCACCGGGACTCTGGTCGAGTGTGGATCGAGGGCCTCTGGAATATTAGAAAAGAAAAATCAGGTTAGAATTTCTGTGTGTGTCTGTGCGTGAGTGCAGTTGTGTGGCTCTATTGCGATGGCTCCAAACAAGTCATCAAATGAAGGTTCTATGAAAAAATTGACATGCATTATTTGTGGATTATCGAAGAATACGACCAGTGGGAGTCATGGGCGGGATAAAATTGAATCAGCGGCAAGACATCGAAAGGATGTAGTGCTAGATAGATTGGATAAATCCCCCAAAGATGCCGATTTCTATTATCACATGACGGATGTATGTTACCGCAGGTATGTTTCAGAAGTTGAAATAAATAGTCATAAAAAAGAGATCAGAAAATCAAGAGCATGATGCAGAGAACAGTGAGGAAGCTGAGCAGAGAGAGAACTAGGTATACAGAAGTAGTAGAGTTCATGGATAGTCACAATCATCTGGAGAAAGAGCCTGTATTATTTGTAATCGTGTTCGAAGTAATAGCGATTCGAAGAGGTGTATAATAACTGAACATGGGACTGCGAATGGTTTTTTACGAATATGTAAATATTTTCAAGATTAAATCTTTACAAGAATTGTACTCTATGATAGCCCAGAGCGATTATTAGCTGCTGATATTCATTATCATGAGAACTGTTTGCGTACATACAGAATGCAGTACTCACGATCGACTTCTAGGGATGAATTGTTGTACACAAGCAGTAATCAAAATATCAATGAAGCGACCAGAGAAGATGTGAGTGCAGCGCAGGAGAAATGCATTCAGGATAATTTGCTCGCATTGGAAAGGGACCTCCGGTCCGGCAAAGCCTTTTCCCTGACCGAAATTTTTACCATTGTGAAATCTACATTACCTCTGAACACATCAATTGATAATAGATTTATAAAGAATCGGATGGAGCTCATGTATGGGGAAAAGATCAAGTTCTTTGTTCCAAAGGGGAAGAATAAATCTACACTCGTTTATTGGGCTAGTATTTCGGTGGAGGAGGCTTTGAGTGTGTATGTTGGAAAGAATAGTGTGAAGGAATCGGCACAAAGTTTGCGAGGAAAAGTTTTACAGGAGGATTTCGATTTGACAGACAGATTTGGTGATGTAAATGATTTGAACCAATCTTGGGATGGTATAACCATTCCTAAAGTGTTTCTAGTATTTTTCTCCGTGTTCAATATTTCCCTTTCAAAATTGACACAATTAGTCAAATTTTATGGTACTAAAGAAGGGCAAGAGCAGGGGGAACGGGCTATGGAAAAGGACGAGGGCGAAATGAGTGATGAGACGGAAAGTGCATGCATTCCATACTTGAGGTTTTTAAAAATCAAAAGTTTGTATCAAATGATTGACTACATCGCTCATGCAGGGCAGAAGAAGACTCCACTTCACGTGATGACAGGTGTTTCTGTTCACGCTATTAGTAAAAGTGCATCACTCGTAAAAATGCTCAATCGCATTGGAGTGAGTATGTCATATGATGAGGTTCAACGATGGCGTGCAGCCTTGGCATCATACACGGTGGAGAGTAACCGAGGGAATGTATCTATACCTGCTCATTTTGATACGGAAAAATTTACGACAGCGGCATGTGATAACTGTGATCACAATGAAGATACAATTTCCGGGATGGATAGCATGCATGATACTGCGATAACCATATTCGAGGATGAGTCACCGAATGTCTCATAAGCCAAAAATTTCACGAACGAGTGTTGATCGCAACAGGCGAACATTCACTACAGAATTGCAATGTCAACAGCTGTTAGAATTCCACCATTCAAAATCGGCAATTGTCATCACCTCGAAACTCCCATAAGTGATGTTTGGATTTCACCAGAAAATTACTCACAATCAGATCAGACCGGATGATCTTATATGGATTCTATCCAGAGTAGATCTCTCCCAATCCCCATTTACGTTACGCAAGAAAGAACGTCAGCTCATACCCGGTTGGTCTGGTTTTCATTCTCTTGTCATCAAAGATGAATGCCCAACACGAATCGCTGGATTTTTGCCAATCCTCCTTCATCCAGTGACAGAATACTCGACAGTTTATACCACATTAACTAATTTTAATGATGTACTTTTCCAATTACGACAAAGCACACTCCCAGTGTTTTGCGATAAAGGCGTGTATCACATCGCCAAACATTCAATTACTACGCCCTAACGAATTCAAAAATCTCGTTTTAATGCTTGGCAATTTCCACCTCACCAAGATAGCTATGAGTTCTATTGGAAGATATTTACGAGAGACCGCAATTCAAAATTTATTGGTTGAAACAGAGGCTTATGGGAGAAATACATCAGAGCAAGTTCTGAATACATCGAATTATGCACGTGCAGTTGAGGGATTTTTGATGTTAGGCGAGGCCCTTCAACGACTCCAAGTGGTTTTTTGAGGAAAGAGGGATGGAATTATACGGCGCTGAACTCATATCAATTGATACTCAAGTAGATGCTTTCACGGAAAAAAATATAGAGGAAGCTCAATCAATATTCAATACATCCCGCGGAACCATGGATCGTTTCATGTCTGATTTTTCGAATTTTATCGAGAGGAGAAGTGATGAGTCAGAGCTCTTCAAATATTATAGTAACGTCATTAACATGATACAACTGATGAAAGATGTGATTCGAAGTGATCGCACGGGAAATTGGCATCTTCATGGAGAATCCGTAAAAAACATTTTACCCTTATTTTTGACTTTCGATCGTTCCAATTACGCACGATGGGTGCCCATTTATTTAAACGAAATGTTGAGGTTGAAAGAGTCACACCTCGAGGTTTATACTGAATTCGTCAAGGGAAGATTCACGGTAAAACAGTCAAATGTTTCAGAACGGACGATCAATCGTTCCCAGAAGAGGCCTCCGTAAAGTTAGCGGAGCAATGGCTAATAACACCACTTTTTTTTTCACCAAAATTAAGTGTTTTTTATGTGTTTTATTGGTGCTGAAATTAAAAAAATTGTGCTCCAGCCCTTCAGGGGTTTAAGGGTAAACCATGATTTTCAATGATCGTCGATAAAATTCATATGCCATCATTATGTGCTTTTCACGTGCTCCAAAATGAGGGGTTGAAGGGGGTGAAGGGAGGTAAGGAAAACCCTTTACGCAGAAATACGTATAATGGAGTGTTAAGGGTTGAAAAATCGAAATCAATGTTGATTGCAAGATATCCTACGCCATAATTATCTGCTTTTCACGTGCTCCAAGATGGAGGAAAAAAGAGGGGGTTTCAAAGAGAGGTTTCAAAGGTTGAAAAATCCCATTCAATATTAATCTAAAAATACTCTATGTCATAATTATGTGTTTTAAACGTGCTCCAAGATCAACGCAAAAAAAGAGGGGGTGGGTGGGGGGAAGAGACTTGAAAGTTTCTTCAGCTCACAGTTGTACTGAGAAAACTGAGAATGGATTTTTTTTTTCAAATTCATATTTCGTCCTGGAAAATATGTGTTTTCCATATCCGGTATTAGAAAAAATCGTGCTCGGTTCTTTGCGTACCTATAACCTGAAAATCGACCCGATGTGCCTGAAATATCCATCACATGACCTGAATTGAATTAAAAAATCATGTGCTCTGCGATTAGTACACAAAAATAATTCGTGCTCGAGTTATAATCATAACGGAGGCATCAGGTACCGCTATGACGTTCAGCCCTTAGACAGGTGCCACCATCTTTTTTTTTTCGTTCTCCATTATGTCCCAAAAAATATGTGTTCTTCGTATCTGGCACTCGAAAAAGTCGTGCTCCATTCGGTGCCTACTTGTAACCTTGAAATCGATCTGATGTGCCTGAAATATTCATTACATGACTTGAATTGACTCGAAAAATCATGTGCTCTGCGATTAGTACACAAAAATAATTCGTGCTCGAATCATAGTCATAATGGAGGCATCATCAGGTACCACTATGACCTGCAGCCCTTAGACAGGTGCCACCATCTTTTTTTTTTCGTTCTCCATTATGTCCCAAAAAATATGTGTTCTTCGTATCTGGCACTCGAAAAAGTCGTGCTCCATTCGGTGCCTACTTATAACCTTGAAATCGATCTGATGTGCCTGAAATATTCATAACATGACTTGAATTGACTCGAAAAATCATGTGCTCTGCGATTAGTACACAAAAATAATTCGCGCTCGAGTCACAGTCATAATGGAGGCATCATCAGGTACCACTATGACCTGCAGCCCTTAGACAGGTGCCACCATCTTTTTTTTTCGTTCTCCATTATGTCCCACAAAATATGTGTTCTTCGTATCTGGCACTCGAAAAAGTCGTGCTCCATTCGGTGTCTACTTATAACCTTGAAATCGACCTGATGTGCCTGAAATATTCATCACATGACTTGAATTGACTCGAAAAATCATGTGCTCTGCGATGAGTACACAGAAATAATTTGTGCTCGAGTCATACTCATAATGGAGGCATCAGGTACCGCTATGACCTGCAGCCCTTGGGGAGGTGCCACCATCTTTTTTTTTTCGTTCTCCATTATGTCCCAAAAAATATGTGTTCTTCGTATCTGGCACTCGAAAAAGTCGTGCTCCATTCGGTGTCTACTTATAACCTTGAAATCGACCGGATGTGCCTGAAATATTCATCACATGACTTGAATTGACTCGAAAAATCGTGTGCTCTGCGATTGGTACACAAAAATAATTCGTGTTCGAGTCATAGTCATAATGGAGGCATCAGGTACCGCTATGACTTTCAGCCCTTAGACCGGTGCCACCATCTTTTTTTTTCGGTCTCCATTTTGTTCAAAAAATTATGCGTTCTCTATATCTACCACCCAAAAAAGTCTGGTTCGATTCATTGCCTGAATATAACCTTGTCGTTGTGGAAAATTAATCAACAATCGGCATCAGCCGAATTTTATTCTGCGATGTATCGTTCTTTCGACTTTTTCCCTCTTATCACCAATCAATGGAAATTGTGTAACAAATAGTCAATCATTTTTCATCAAATGTCAAGAAATTCCTTGGTTCGTTCATATGCAATGAAGATAGAATCACATTTCCATCTCAATTTCTGACCATGCTGTTCTCAAAATCTTGATTCTTCTGTAAGAGGCGGCACTAAATCTCCATATTTCAACATTTTTTTTCAAAATCAAAGAACGGTCAATCGATAGAGCAAAAAAAATGGAATATGAATATAATCAACTTTTTCATAATTTCTCATCAATATCCAATAATCGTCGTTATTCATTCATGACTATCCTATTTCCTTGATCAGTTCATATACAAAGACATTTCGACATAATCATGAGGCTTAAATAAACAGGTAGGATCTTCATAAAGTTTTTTTTCGCTTGTCTATTCTGTGATTTTTGAAGGCGTGTTCGTTTCAAGTGACTTAATTCGGAATGATTTTCGACGTATTTATCTGGTCCTTGCCCATCCTACTTTCTTCGCTACCCTTTTGTCTCCACAAATTAACTGTTTTACTGATTCGACAAGAATAGAAACAACACGTCAAGAACTATTCCGAATTCAATCATTTGAAAGAAACGCGTTTGCAATAACCTCAGAGTGAATCAGGGAAGAAAAACGTTATACGACACTCGCAGGACAAATAAGATATTGATAAATTCCTATTTTTTATTATTCAATCCAGATGATAATGCAAATTTTCAAAAATTAACACACTATCGGAATGAAGAGATTCTGTCCCATTCAAATTTCGCGCGTGCTGAGTTGAGAATGTGAGAACCACATGGCATTGAACCTCCGGACTGAGGAATCGGTCTGCCCATTCCGCAAGTTGGAGCGAGTGCGAACGGTATACAAGCGCATTGTATCGTTTCGCTCGGTATAAAACGTGAGGAATTTATGATTTTTATTCTTTCAAAACTATCGACTATGAAATGTTATACAAAATGTTATATGAAATGTTATACCAAATTATTCTACATAGTTCCCAGTTATTTCCATCTTATTGTTTTGAATGCACAAATCTTATAGTTCACAATTCGTCCGCTGGCGCCACACAGGTTTTATTATCACATGTCTGAGTCAGTATGAGTCAGTTTTTTATGGTTATAACAGTACTTTCGAGAACATTGAAACGTGTGGCATAACAAATATTCAGTTTAATTAATTTTTTAGGGGTTTTCGATCGGTTTTTTTAGTTTTGACAACTCAGTTCCGCTGAGTTCAGTGAATTTACGGTGAACAACCAATTATGGAGGACATGGAGGAAGATATGGAGTGTGAAGTACCAATTAAACGCCGACGAGGTCCACGCAGGAAATATGATCCAAGTATAATACTGGAAGTGCTAACAGAAAATAGAGCCCAGTTGTTCGATGTTGATTCTGGCAGTGTGACATCAGCTCTTGATAAAATATGGCAGAAAATGGCAGAAAAATTGGGGAGGATGGGACAGTCCAAGAGTGCTAGTTCTCTTCATACTTACGTATCCTGTAATCAGAATGGTGTCCGGTGTAAATTAGATCCCACTTATCAAAAACCAGATGTCCTTGTCGATGACAACCTTCACACGCCTGATTAATCCGTGGATTTGTGTCTCGACACTTCAGAGAGCAAAATCAGGAAAAATGTCGTTGAATTCACGGTCTCTGTTCTACTTTCGGAGTTCAAAAAGCTCGTAGAAAATCGTCCGATATTTTTGACCGATCCAGACACTGGGACGATTGTTACACGGAACAGGAAACGATGTTTATCAGGTAGGATTCTTCGATTTTCTCTAATCGTCTTTTAAAATTAATGTTCTTTCCATGTCTTTACGCAGATGAGTGGGAGACATATTTAACAGATCTAGCATGGGAGCACGCACGGATTAAACATGGATTCTCTTTTGATTATCATGATCTCAGACTTGATCTCTCTTCAGGACATTTCGTAGGCCATTGTGCATGTAAAGCAGTTCTCAACTGCTACATGAGTGAGAACCACAAAGTTACATCATTGAGATTTGTCATAAAGGGGGATGATTCCAAAGAAGAATGCAGCAAGCGTCCTCTCCGTGGAAAACGAAGAGCAGATTTGGCGAAAAGATTGGAGAATAAAGCCCCTCACATCATCAGGATGCAAATGATGAACGAGCTCATGGGAGATAATGATCCAGAGCCTCCACAAATACCCTCGTCACCGGTTATGAGAATGTTGAAGCATGAAGCAATAGCAATGAAACGTTTACACAAGGATCCAATCAAAGCTGTACAAATTCTCAAAGCTACAAAAATGAATGGTGAGATTTATACTGTCAGATGTGAGCCTGTTTATGTTAGCTATGCAACTGCGGGACAACAAAAGATTCATCGCAGGGTGGCTGAAAATGGGAATTCATCTTTAAAAATCGATGCAACATCGAATGTCACTCGGTCATTCAAAAAAATTGATCAAGTTCAAACGGGGCCCTTACACCTATTTCACGCAGTGATACGAACCTCAAGTGGACAACAGATTGCCTTGGGCCAGCTACTGACAGAGTCCCTGACGGCTCGTACTGTTCATGAGTGGTTGGAAGACCACTACGTTCTATGTGCGGTGTTATGACTGGGGGTGAACCAACACCGTGTAGAAAAGCGAAAGAAACGATGGAGCAAATTTTCACTACAGATATTTTTGAGGATTCAGAGCTCCCGCTTGATGGGCAGCAGGAAGATCAGGACGCTCCAAAGCTTCCAAAGACTTGTAGGAGGAATATTCAGCCGAGTGTGTGGCGAGACTGGGGTCAAAAAATCTATGGTGTGGTTGAGGAATTGACAAAAAAAACTGAAGGAGATTTGGAGAATAAACTGTTTTTACCAGAATTCGCAAAGAAGTTGCTTGATGAGTTGAAATGGCTCCCTCTATGGAGTTGCATCTCCCGTGATTTGTTTCAATATGGAGCAGTGCCTGCTTCCAGCGCTGCGGTCGAAAGTTGTTTCAATATTATTAAAACGTGGCTATTGAATAAATTACAGGCTCCAAGGATTGATTATTTCATATCTCTACATAAAGATTATCTTGATGCCCTGTCGAATAGTACACGTGATAAGATGGATAAGTATGACGCCAAACAATTGGAGACTCAAAATTCTATTCACACACTGAATGATCCATCAAGCTCTCGCATGCAACAGGAGGGGATGACTGACCCTCATGTCGCTGATGATGATGAACACTTTTCTGTTCAGAGCCCATTGCATCAGAGTTCTCCATTTTCATCGAATCCTGGATTTTTTCATATCGACGAATGTCAAATATGTGCTGCGGGGAACTTGCCTACTGGATCACATCAATGTCAGGTATGAATCATTCATAATATTGCCATTGTCTTCCACGATTTTTTTTTTGGTTGAAATAGTTTCACTAGTGGAGATTTGATGAAACAAACCGGATGGTCAATGCCACCAAGTCAAGACACCTTTCTATAGAAGTTCATTCCCTGTATTGTATTTCCACAATTTCTGTAGTAGTAATTTTTCAAAATTTTCTCCGGCCTATTTTTTGTTCTTTCATTGATCAATTAAAAAAATACACTCGAACAATTGATTCCTCCCTGCAGAATTATCAATAGATTCAGTTTCGTAGAAGAAAGTTGGATGTATTGTCTCCGGAGTAACTCGTCCGCAATTTTTCATCTCTATTAAACATTTCTATTCTTAAAAGAAATGAGAAGAAAGTTCGAGTCTTTCAATCGACGTTTGCATTTAAACGATTAAATTTAATGGCATTGCGTCTTGGAAATTGGAATATTTTTTTGATCGAATTTAAGGATTTCTCTCTTTGGAAATTGAATTATGATGATTAAATTATGTCTTCTTCCTGTACAGGACTGTGGACGCGCTGTACATATCATCCCACCGTGTTCCTATTCTATAGGTGATGAAGGTTACGGTGAGAAACGTCAATGCGCTGCTTGTCATGGGGAGGTAGAGCAGAGATCAACGGAGGAAATCCAAAGAAAAAAACCTCAGGAGCCTCCTGCAGATAGTAACTCGAGCAAGAAAAAGAAGAAATTTTCATATTTGCAAAAAACGTATCCACCTGGGTTCTACACACCAAAGAAAAGTCTCAATACAATTCCTGTATTAAAGTCAGGGAATGATTCATCGCTGAAAGCAATTCGAAGTGCTGGAACTCGAATTAGTTTATCAAACACTCAACTGTTTGATGCATTATTTCATCTTCTGCTCACTGTTGCTACCGATGTGACGCCTTTCTTGGAATATGTAGAAAGTAACGTATCTCAGAGTTCATTCTTCGACATGATGATATGAGATATGAAGTCTTGGGACCCCATTTCTTTAATGACAAATCTGGTCATCCTGAAGTTGGTTGTTACACTATGGATTGCACATCTACTGCAGGGAATCTTTGCGAAAGACTTCTGAAGGAATCATCAATTATTCAAACGAAAATAATTTGTGATAAGGGATGTCCAATAATTACATCACGAAATAATGTATTGAGAATTCCAATTGAACAGTTGAAGAACGCTGGTCCTAATTGTTCCAAGTTGGAAAAACAGATGGGACAAAGAAAGCTGAGTCAATGTTCGACACATTCATGCTCTGGAAAAATTACCTCTTCAATCACTTCCGAAGCTGAATTGGTGTTGATTGAAACGATCCGAGAACGAAATGAACAACTGCAGAAGGTAGAATTGAATGATATTCCTGTTCACTTTCAAATGTCAAAGATGGATAAACATTTGGAGCTTCGAGGAATATTGCATACCGAGTTACCAGAGGGTCTAAATGTCGGCGTTAATTCCCAAAATCTGGAGGAAGTTATGAATAAAATGTATTCTACATATGTCCGTCGGAATGATTTATGGATGGTTATTCGAAGTCATGAGCAATCACATTTCTGTGATAAGACAACGAAAGTATCCCCCGTTCTCGTCGTCTATTCTAAATGAAAATCATGTCATCATCCATGTACTTATGATACAATAATTTTTGTGATTCATCGCCGCAGGATTGTGAAAAGCACAAATAACCACCTTCGAAATTGTGGGAGGATATCATTTAGAGACACTCAACTCAACACCGATTAATAATTTGTAAGGTTATTCAAATGATGAACGTCAAATTTTTGACAATTCCTACGTGATTCCCAACCCTTTTCCCACCCCCTCTGAAATTTTCAAGACTCCACCACCAATATGGGGGTTGAAATTAGTTTTTTCCTAAATTTTGGAGCAGTAACACTCAACTTAACATTGATTAATAAATTATATGATTATTCAAATAATAAGCATCAAATTTTTATCAATTCATAAGTGATCCCCAACCCTTTTCCCACCCTCTCTGAAATTTTCAAGTCTCCACCACCAATATGGCGGTTGGAATTCGATTTTTCCTAAATTTCGAGCAGAGACACTCAACTCAACACTGCTTAATAATTGATATAATTATTAAAATAATGAACGTTAAACTGTTAACAATTTCTGCGTGATCTCCAATCCTTTTTTCACCTCCTTTGAAATTTTCAATACTCCACCACCAATATGGGGGTTGGAATTAGATTTTTTCTCAATTTTGGAGCAGAGACACTCAACTCAACACTGATTAATAGCTGATATAATTATTAAAATAATGAACGTCAAATTGTTGACAATTTCTGCGTGATTCCCAATCCTTTCTCCATCCCCTCTGAAATTTTCAAGACTCCACCACCAATATGGGGGTTGGAATTAGATTTTTCCTGAAGTTTGGAGCAAAGACTCTCAACTCAATAGTGATTAATAGTTTTAAAAAAAGATCCAAATGATGATCGTCGCCGATTCAACTCAATACCGATTAATAATTTATATGATTATTCAAATAATCAACGTCAAATTGGTGATAATTTCTATGTGATTCTCAACCCTTTTCCCACCCTCTCTGAAATTTTCAAGTCTCCACCACCAATATGGCGGTTGGAATTCGATTTTTCCTAAATTTTGGAGCAGAGACACTCAACTCAGCACTGATTAACAATTTATTCAATCATTGAATTAATGAACGTCAACTTTTTCACCATTTTTATGTCATCCTCACCTCTTCCCCCACCCCCTGTAAAATTCTCAAGTCTCCACCACCGATAGGGGGGTGAGGTCTTAATTTTTCTACAATTTTGGAACAAACACGCTCAACTCAATACTAATTAAAAATGTCTAAAAATATCTTAATGATGAACGTCAACTCTTCGCCAATTTCAATGGCATCCCTAACCCTTTCTCCACCCCCGCTTGTGTCAAGTTTCCACCATCGATAAGAGGATGAGAATTGGATTTTCCCTGATTTTAGAGCAAAGACACTCAACCTAAAATTGATTAATAATTTATTTAAAAAATCGAACTAATGAATGTCGACTCATTCACATTTTCTCTCCCGTTCTCAACTCTCTTTCCATCCCCTCCGCAATTCTTACGTCTCCACCCCCGATACATGGGTGGAGAGTTGACAATTTCATTTTTCCTAAATTTTTGAGCCCAGACACTCAACTCGATACTAATAAATAATTTCTATAATTATTCAATCAATGAACTCATCGATAATTTTNGGGGGGGGGGGGGGGGGGGGGGGGGGGGGGGGGGGGGGGGGGGGGGGGGGGGGGGGGGGGGGGGGGGGGCATTGATCCAGCGCCGGAAATACGATGTTTTTTTCTCAATTCTGGAATGACGTCTCGCGGATTAATACTAGGAAATATTTCATGGAATCATTCAGTGAATGAACGTCAACGAATTATTAATGTCTATGGTATTCTCACCCTTCTTCCCACCCTTAATTACAGTGGGAAGTCTCTGCCTCCGTGAGGATGGTAGGGGGGATTGATTTGTGTTAAATTCTGAAGTGAAGACACTCAATCAGTTACTAAAGACTGCAAGATAATTTTCAACATTATAAAACTAATGAGCATTGGCTCATTACAAAACTATATTTTTCTCAATCCGTCAAGAAATATTTTTCTTTTATTTTTCAATTCAATTTTGGGGCATAATCGTCAAATTTTCAGAGATTGTATACCTGAAAGTGTAAACAAAATAAGTTGATACGCGTATTCACTCTTGTTTCGGCTCGTATCCCCTGCTATCCATTCAGCAGCAGAGGAACATGCTTGCACTCTGTTGAGGTGAGAAACAATTCGCCCTCCATCTGCCGCGGCCTTGGCGTGAAGTTCTCGGGGTGCGTTTCGGAATCAACTACTGTAGCTGCAGTAAAGCGAAATTAGATAGGGTTACAGTACTGCTACTGCTACTAAGTCGATTGCGAAACGCGCCCTCGGTCGGCATATTTCGACTGTTCCCCCACTCTCATCTTTCTCCCGCGTATTGCCGAATGGCATCAGTCTTGCTCTGACCACCGATGAGCGAGCTACTGAAAATATTGTCAAGTAGCACGCCCTCCATTTATTGAATTCATCATAACATTGTTTGAGATTATTACTGAAACAGATCATGTTACGATCATCTCTTTGCTGTGTGTGCGGAGTTTGATGTTAACCTACATCATATAGAAATTTACAATGGCGGCCGCCAAAGGTAAGACTTAATAATTTTTTTGTCCTTGTAACAAGTTAAAAAGCACATTTCATTGATGACGGAAATTTACTTCACGTTAGTGTTCTCCTCTTGAAGGATCAAATCTAGATATTTTCATACTTTTCATTTGTTGAGGTATGTTTTTTTTAGATTATCAGGATTTTTTTTTGTCACAAAAGATCCATCAACAATTCTTACACGCACGGGACTGCGTGAAATGTCCAAAGAATGACTTGCTATCCGGCTTCCTCAAATGATTTTCAACTAATTGATTGAATGATGAATAGGAGGCGGCTCTTCATCGACTTTCTATGAAATCATGCCAAATTATCAACTATTCTTTGTTGATACGTGTTCACTGCTTTGGTTTTCAATTTATTCTTTCATCGTAATACCCAATGAAGATTTCTGAATAATTATGGTGCAAACGTCAGGAACTTGTAATAAAATTAAGACACACACTGTTCCTAGTGTAAAAACATCTAAAACTTATTTTTGGAAAATACTGATTCGATTTTTAGACGACATATCCACATCAACCACTCAGTCGGCGATAATTCCTAAATGATAATTATTAAAATGGTTATCAATACGTGGAAGTTAGAGGAAAAAGCCAGAGGAAAAAAAATTAAATAATGATCTTAATAATAATCTAATTAAATCGAATTAAATAATAATCTAATTTCTAGAACTTGAATTCAGACTATGCGTGAAGTAAATTTCCATTCTTGGAGAGCATAGTGATGGAACTGCTTAGCAATTTTTTTTTTTGCATATATGAACGTAAAGTACATTTGTATTTACATTGAGCCTATCTTCTCCTCATTTTGTCATCTTATCTGTACTATTAATCCTCCCAACGTAGGGGGAGCTTGATTGACCAAGATATGAATTTATACTTACAGGTACTATGACGCTGAAGTTGGCAGCCGACTTGGCAGCGAAAGTTCAGGGCCGTAGCAAGGATTTGTGGGGCCCCATACCTTAATACGAAAACTGAAAATTGTTCCTATTTAAGTTCTAAATTCCGAAATGATCTGGAACAGCCTCCCCATTCTCCACAATATGATCAACCCCCTTTGTTCAGGCCAAGGGGGTGGTAGGGAGATGAAAATTTCAATTTTTGTCTTTTTTTTGGGGAGAAAAAATTTCTGCACCATAAATAGCCAGAACCACCAGCACATTGTTATAAAAAAAGATTAAACGAAACACCCTCGACCCCCAGGAAAATGATCAAGTCTTTCAGATTGGTCCAAGGGGGTGCTAGGGGGTGGAGAAATGAAATCTTCGCGTTTTTCAGGGGGGAAAAAATTCTCCGACTCATAATAAAAAAAACCACAAACAAATGTTAATGGAAAAATACTCAGTGCAACTCCTCCTACCCCCAGAAAAATCATCAAGTCTTTCAGAGTGGACCAAGAGGGTGCTAGGGGGTGAAAAAATTAAATTTTCGCGTTTTTCGGGCGAAAAAAAAATCTCCGACTAATAATACGCAAAACCACCAATAAATATTGATGAAAAAATACTCAGCGCAACTCCCTCAACCCTCAGCAAAATTATCAAGTCTCTCAGACTGGTCCAAGGGGGTGCTAGGGGGTGGAAAAATGAAATTTTCGCGTTTTTCAGGGGGAAAAAAAATCTCCGACTAATAATAAGCAAAACCACCAATAAATGTTGATGAGAAAATATTCAGCGCAACTCCCTCAACTCCCAGAAAAATCATCAAGTCTATCAGGCTGGTCCAAGCGGGTGCTAGGGGGTAGAAAAATGAAATTTTCGCGTTTTTCGGG